ACTGAGGCGAGGAATGCGTTACATTTTTGCACTCGTCACCAAGCAGAAGTTTTGTGACAAGCCGACCGTTCTGAGTGTGCGCCAGGCCCTTGGGTGCCTCAGGCGGTTGTGCAGGGTGAATGGAGTCCAGGATTTGGCCATTCCTTACCGTATGGGTGCTGGACTGGATAAATTGGACTGGAAGGATGTTAGAAAGTTGGTTTTTGAAATTTTCGGTGGAACCGAAATAAATTTGTATATATGTAATTACAACAGGACAACACGCCAGGGTTCTGACGTCAGCGGTTCCGATTGCCGCCGCGGAGATGGCGCGATTACGAAGCGCAGGGCATTCCCCCGTTTGACGCCCCGTGCTGCACGCGGCGGCGCCGAGGCAGGCGGTGGCCAAACTCCAAACAACAACGGCGCGGAGATGTGCCGCGCGGCAACTGTCACACCTGGCCGATCGCCCCAACGCCCCGTTCCAAAGGCAGGGGCAGGGCCGGCGCCTCATGTTTCGACAAACAACCACCCGAGCACTAAGTCCACGCCCCCAGCTGGTCCCAAGACCGACAAATGGGCCGGGAAGCTCTCGCAGCCTCAGGGTGAGGACAAGTGCATCGTCATTGACGTAAGACGTGTGTCTCCCATCTTGGATGTAAAAGCCAGAATCGGGAAAAGCTCTGCCATTTATGACGTCACGCTGGACACCGGGGCCGGTATCCCAGTCGTGTCATGTCAAATTGCTGGACCTGGCAAGCCCATGCAGGGCAGGTACCGGGTGATCGCAGCGGATGGCCAGAAGATGGAAGTCAAGGGCGAGGTCGTTTTGCCTGTGTCATTTTTGAATGCGGAGTTCAAAGTTCGGTGCTTGTGTGTCCAAGGACTCGACTGCGAGCTATTATTGGGAACGGAGTTCCTCAACAATTATGGTTTTGGTATCTGTTTTGACACAGGAACATTATCTTTTCCCACCGATTTAGGGAGGGTTGTGGTCCCCATTCCCAACTGGTGCGCACCGGATGACCCACAAGTGGCCAAGGCCTTGACCCCTTTGACCATTCCTCAGAGCGGACCAGCCACCGCGGCACGGCTTCCAGGCGAGGCCTGTGTGACCCGGCCAGCCCAGGCCGGACAGGTCACCCCTCGCACTTCCCTGCAACGCCCCGAAGCGTCTCACCCCGCTGCAGCCCGCCCGGCCGTACCACGTCCCCCCGCGCCCGTCCCCGCCCCGCGCCTCGCGGTCGCACGTCACACTGTTGCGCGTCCGGCCGGCACGCCCGCGGACTGTGAGGCGACACCATCCGGCCCGCGCGGCCCCGCCCTGCGCGTCCCCGCCCGGGCCCAGGAAGGGCCGGCCCCTCCACAAGGCCACGCCGTACCCAAGGCAGGCCGCAAGCCGAAACCAAGAAACAAACTGCGTGGTGAGGAACGAGTAAAGTTAATTACAATCCGAGCCGCCGGATACACCATCTTGAAGCCAGACGTCCCCACGCAGGTGACTATTGGGCCGTGCCCTACAGAGGATGGCGTGTTCGTTCCGTCGACGAAGTGGCCAAACAGAAATGTTTACATCCTTGACCAAGAAATTGAGGCTGGACAAATGTTTATTACCATGGTGAACGAGCGGCCGTCTGAAATGGTCATTCGCAACAATGAGGTCATCGGACATTTGACCCCATTTAGATATGTCACTTGCATTTCTAGATGCTTCAAGTTAAAATCTGAGGGAGAGAAACAGATTGAGGGAGCATTTTTCGCCCCCGACATGCCTCAGGAACAGGTCAAGGAGGTCATAGATTTGATGCATAAGCATGAGAAAGTTTTCGAAGAAAATGAATTGATAACACCTGTCACTGGTTTTGAGTACATTGTTATGACCCCTCCTGACCTCCAGCCTGTCACATGCAAGAACATCAAATTGACCCCGGAAAAACAAGAAGCGATGGCCGAAATTGTGAAGAAACTTGAGAAGAGTGGGGTCATTGAGAAGGCGAGGTCTCCTTTTAACGCAAGGGCTTTTGTCGTTCCGAAGAAAAACGGAAAATACCGTTTTGTGGTCGATTTTAGTCTGCTCAGCAAGGCTCTACCAAAGGATCCTTACCCTGTTCCTTCCATCACAGCAATCAAGAGAATACTCTCTACAGCCAAAATGGTCACAACACTCGACATCTCTGATGCATACTTCAGACTCCCATTAGCTGAGGAGTCGCGTGACCTCACGGCCTTTACGATTCAAACAGATGCTTTTCGTGGCCAGTACCGGTTCACGCGCACTCCACAGGGTTTCTCCAGCTCTGGGAATGCTCTATGCAGGTTTCTCGACGAGGTTTTGGGCGATATGATCGCGAAGGGTCAAATTGCAATTTACGCAGATGACCTTTTTGTTGTGTCTCAGGACTATGACTATGAAGGTCATGTGAAATTGGTTGGTGAACTTTTTGCACGAATGGAGCGCCACAACATTGCGGCGGCACCCGGAAAAACCAGATTTTGTTTGAAGACTTTTACTGCACTGGGATACCATTTTAGCCCTGAAGGTCATAGAATATGTGATGACATTGTTCAGACTATTAAGGATTTGGAACCCCCAGCCACTTTCAAGCAACTGAGGTCATTTTTTGGCCTCGTCTTATTCGGAAAGGACCATGTCAGAAATTTTGCCGAAATCACTCAGCCGATCGTCGACCTATTGAAACCAGAAAACAAAAACAAGCGACCAATAATGAACGAGCGGGCCTTGCAGGCTTTTGACCAAATAAAGGAAATTTTGTCATCTCCACCTTTTCTCCAGGAATATCAAGAAGGAGACCAAATTGTGATCGCGACCGACGCGTCAAAAGTCGGCATTTCTGTACATTTGATGTGTCAGCGAAAAAACACAGGACAACTCGTTACTTTGGGTTTTGGTTCGAAAAGACTGACGAAGCCAGAAACTCAGCTGGCTCCGAATTTGTTGGAGAGCTTAGCCGTTTGTTACGCCTTAGAGCGTTTTCCTCAATATTTCAGAAACCGGAAAATTATTGTAATTTCCGACCACCTGGCGTTGACCCGTTTCCACCAATACACCAGCTCGAACTCCAAAATTAACCGACTTCTGGCAATTCTTGGGACCTATGACCTCACCATTTTGCACACGAGAGGCACGGATAATCTGGTTGCAGATTACCTCAGCAGATTTCCCCCGCCTGACCGTGATGAAATTTCCGCGACTGATTTCCTTGAAGTGTACAAGGCTGTGACCACCGAACAGCCAAAGTCTCTTTTGGAAAGGGTGAAAGATGGGCAGGCTGCCTGCGCCGAGTGTGAAAATATCAGAATTTTCCTGCAAGATGGGACTGTGCCGAGCGGCGCGAGGCGCACGGCGGCACAGCTGAGTCAGCGGTATGCCGGGTACACTGTGAGGGACGGCGTGGTGTGCCGCGAGCACACGGACGGCCTGGGCAATCCACAGTCTGTGCCGTGGGTCCCTGACGGTGTGCGCCAAGAATTGCTGACCTATGTGCACGACAAGCAAGGCCATCCAGGCCAGAGCGAGACACTTCGGATTTTGAAGGGAATTGCATTTTGGCCCAAAATGCGGAATGATGTGAATGTGCATGTGAAGGCCTGTGACATATGCATGCGGGTAAAGAGGGATTACCAACAGAAAATTAGCGGGAAATTACAGCCGCGATGCCCCACTGCCCCGTGGGAGATGATTAGTTGTGATTTTACCGGCCCTTACCCTGCCTCGCCTAGCCGCAACAAATTTATTTTCTTTGTCCAGGACTGCTTCTCAAATTATGTTTTCCTCTTCCCCACGAAGAAAAACGATTCTGAAACAGCAATAGAACTCTTGGAAAACCAAGTTTTCACCTCTACAAATTACCCCAAATTTATCATCACTGACAATGACCGCATTTACACTGGAAAAAATTTCACGGACGCATGCAAGGCATGGAACACACAGCATGTTTCCACAGCCTCTTATCAACACAGAGCTTGCCCAGCTGAAAGAATTTTCCAGGAATGCAAGGTTTTAATGCGAGTGGCTTTAGCTGACAGTGACAAGCACAACAGATGGGACGAGGCCCTTCCCAGAATCACCAGATTCTTGAGAAACCGCACTTGCCAAACGACGGGACTGGCGCCGAGTGAGATAATTTTTGGCCAGAAGCTCTCCCCGTGCAATAATCCGTTGCAGGAATTGACAACATCGCAGGAGCTAACAATTGAGAGGTGGTACCAGCTGCGCCAGGAGCGCATGCAATTGGCCATCACACAAGCCCGAGAGGCCATTGCCAAGAAATACAAACAATTTCTGGAAAAGGAAAACCTCAAAAGGAGAGACGTGGATTACCACGTAGGTGAGTTGGTGTACGTTCGGAACCACCCGAAAAGCATTTTGTCGGGCCAATTTGCCGCCTCGTTAGCCCCGAAGTATAAAGGGCCCTTCCCCATCGCGGAAATTTTGTCCAAACAAGTGGTCATTCTGGACGCAACTAATGAAAAATTGAAGACACATGTAGAAGATTTGAAACGGAAATACGTGGAAACTCCCAGTCCGAATAATAAATTTGACCAGGATGACAGCTCTACGGAAACCGGGGACGCGACCCCAACCCATCCACGCCCGTCTCTCGGTGAGAACGCGCCGCCCCGGCGGGGCAGGGCCCCGGCCGCGAGGCAGCGCGACGAAGACGAGGCGTATCCGAGGCGAGTGGACTGCTCGCCGTTGCGCCAACACAAGGCCGCGCCGCGGCGCGTGGAGACAGAAAGGCAACCACGTGACGGCGTGTGCTTGCAGGAGGCTGATTTGCGGACCGAGGCTCAACTTTCCCGAATCGCGGATACGCCTACGGCCCAGAGTGATAACAACACGACACCGACGGCCCGGCGGAGTGCCCGCGATCCTGATGACGGTGGCATGAAACCAACAGAGGGCAGCCGACGCGGCCAAGGCCGCCTGCGACGGCGCAGGATTTTTCAATAACAAACTTCTGAATATCTGACGGAGTGGGATTTTGATGCAAGGCAAGAAAAAGGCATTACTGATTTATTGAAAGCGTAAATCTGAGATAGCCCCAATAAACTTGAGATGGCCAGCTTCGACGTTTTCTTCGGCGAAATCGTAATTTCGAAGCGTGCAGGCCACTCGCGAAAGCTGGAACACAGCAAAACAATGAGCTAAAATGAAGAAGCACTGTTTATTTTAACATTTAAAAAAAAAAAAACCTTCTCCTTTTGAACACACCTTTCTTTTCCTCATTTTCACCCGTCGGCATCAATTTTCTTGCGTCCGTACAAGGCTTGGACGGCTTCCATGTCGTCTGGAGTGAAAAAAATTCCGGCTTGTTCCGGAGCATGGTATGTTTTGTACATCAAAGCGTTTTTGAACTCGGAATGGTCAACACCCAGAGCATGGAGGAATTCATGCCACACCACGGCATCGAAGATGAACGCTGTCCAATTGCGGTTTTGGCGGATGTGAATGTCTCCGCCCGCCCAAGGGTACGTGGCGTGGGCTAGAACTGAGCCATTGAAATGCGACACGCAGTCATGGGCATCTGGCACGAAACTGATTACAATATCTGCCACCTCTGGATGTAAAGCGCTGTTGGGGTCGTGCACGGCAAAGGCTGCGAGTGTGAAGGTAGAAATTAAGGTGGTTACTCGGCGAAAGGAATCTGCAACCTGAGTGTCGTGCAGTTGGCCTGTTGGGTCCGAATTGGAAATTTTGTACGTCACTGGAGCCCTTCGCCACCGGGAATTTCCCAATGCGAAGCGGCGACGGCGCGGACTTTCTGACCGCCAGGTGCGAGTGACCCCGCAGTGCGGCTGGCGCATGAGCTCAGCAGTTTCCTCGTCCAGGATACCAGTAGCGTTCAGACCCAATTCTTGCTGGGCGGCAACGATGTAGCTTTCCATATTGCTTTGAAGGTTGCGAGGTGACGAAGGATTCTCCGCAAGGAGCCCATACTCGGAAAGGTACGTCAAGATCTCAGCATCCGGAACCGGGGCACTTATCACTGTATGCAAGAGGGCACAGAACAACACGGCGACCTTCATGGCGGACTGCACTAAGGTTACTGACGCGCGTCTCAGCGATGCCTTTGGCCCGGCCGAGTGCACTGCCTCATCGCGCCGCGACGCGCTGGCCGCCTCCCCACCTTTTTTCTCCATGGCCCCCGGCGCGATGGGCCCCTGGAAACGTGATTCCTGCCAAAACAACGGGCACGGACCTGTGCGGCCACGGGGTATAAAACCAATGGCGAAATAACGGAGGGCGTAGTCTCACCGGACTGCACCCCGACACCTGATATCTGCAACCGGACGAACGGAACGGCGTAGCCATCGGCCCGACAACTGTCAGCGTCAGCTATCGACTAACTTGTAAGTGTGAATTACAATTGTGAAAGCTGGTCGCCACCCGATTGTGACGACTGTGTCGTGACAGCGGAGTGACTTTGGAGGACTGTTAGGCTGATTCCGTATTTTCTCTCGCCCGTGCTGACGCCCAGACCGAAGACCCGCCAGAATGTACCGTGCCGTGTCTCCACGTCGGCGCATGCGCTCTGCCTCAATGGGACCGCGTGTGCTGCTGCCCACGCCCGATTTTCCGAGCCCTTTCTACCAATGGACCCGGGGTTTTCCAACATCAATGCCCAGCGGAATGGAGCAACGACAGCTGCAACGACCTGTACGCAGTCAGCACTTTTCCCAAAACGTAAGCTTTGCAGCCAGCGACAATAGGGCAAAAGATGCTACCCGTCAAACTTGACGGAGTGACTGTGTGACCTCTCGCAAATGCTGACCCTGCTTCCCTTCTGTCTCCTCCAATGGCAGCCACGCGCCGTCAGACCAGCCCCGCTAGTGCGTTTGGCGCTCTGAACCTCCGGGCCCAGAGTAATTTCGGCACGACCTGGACTTCCCCACGTTTCGCCTTCGCCACGGTGCCTTGCGCGGCGCCACGCCCTGCCACAGCACCGCGCGCAGCGCCACGCCCTGCCACAGCACCGCGCGCAGCGCCACGCCCTGCCACCGGCATCGCAGCACCGCGCGCAGCGCCACGCCCTGCCACCTGCCTCGCAGCACCGCGCGCAGCGCCACGCCCTGCTCCGCGAGGCGTGCCACGCCGTGCGCGCTCGGCATCTGTCTCCGCTGGGCTGGCTCTGTCCCGCTCTGCGACGCGGGTTGCCGCTCCTCCGCGCCGACCGACGAGGAATTTGGACGAAGACATTGAGACCGCCTTCAACATGCCCAGGTCAGAGTGTGAGCGTATTTTGACTGAGACTGAGCCCCGTGTGCGTATTCAAGCTGTGTTGTACACGCTCTCGCACCAGGAGGGTATCCGTGGGAGGATACGACTCCAGTGTAAACACGCAGCTGATGCACTCGGCAGGCTGCCTGAGAGAATGCATGACGGGGACGAGCAGGAGCTGCTCAGTGCTCGGAACGCGATCAATCGCGCCCTGGTCACGTACGACTGGATGAAGGTCCCTTTGACCCTCATCCGGCGCGCATCTGGGGCCGAAAATTACTTGAAGGCAGCCGAGAACATCGCTCTCGGCGTGGACGAAAACCACCTTGATGGCGAAGCGCGGGCTACGATCCGGGACTTTTTCCGGGACCCGCAGCCCTCCCCGGCAAGGGGCTTGTGGGACTACAAGACCTCCGACGAGGCGGCCGAGGTGAGGTCGCTTCGCCCTCCGCCCCCACGGCACGTAAGGGCTGCAGCTTTCGCGGAGGGATTCCGCCGGCACATGAGGGCGAGCTCCGGCGATGCTCCCTTGGCACCCCCAGCACCGTCAGCACGCCAGCGTGGTGGACGACCAGCTCCTGGCCAGCCTTTGTGGGAGCGGCTGCTCTCGCAGACGCGCCCCGGCCAGGCCAGCCCTGACAACGAGCGGCCTGTTTTCTGATCTTATTTTGTTTAAATTTGAGCAGTGCTCAATTGCAATTTGGTTTTGTATTTTTGGGTAATTATTAATTTTGGGGTTTTTGATTGAAAATAAAAAATGAATGACATGCGCTTTTGCTGGTTATTCCACACTCACTACCTTCCGATCCAAACTCCATGGCTACAGCGAACGGCACATAGCCCCACTAGCGCGCGAGCCGTGCTTCAACAAACAAAAGCGGCGCCGGAACCACTATAAAAGAGCGGGCGCGCCCGGCACTAACCACAGTTTCGGCTCGCTCATACACGACCAACGACGCCATCCGCCATCCGCCACCGACCATGAAGATTCTGCAGCCGACTTGGAGGAGCCTCGCCGTCGCCATCCTGAGGGTGGCAAACTCGGGAGCGGCGGACGAGGATTGGAGGGAGGAGGCCCTCGTCATAGCGAGGGAGGCGCTGCGGGAGGCGCAGCAGCCGGTCCAACCGTACGCGCCGATACTCCTGGCCTTGGCCAGGGATACGGTGGACCGGTTGCCGGACTCCCTCCGGCGGCGGTTACGGGAAGACGACGAGGACGGGCTGCGGCGGGCGGCCATTTTCCTGTACGAGACCATGGACGAAGAGAGGGCATGGCTTCATTGAGTAAGTTTTCCTTTCTCCAAACTCCACCTGTTGCCCGTGTTTTTTCCTGAGTGTTGGCCTGCGAATGAACTGCAGTTGTGAACCATCGCGTTCCGCACCCTTGTAGGCCCTCGCTGTCTGCCCGTCGCCGCCGCCGTCGTTTCCATCGGGACCAACCACCGCTCCGCCACGCCCCCGCCGTCTACACCTTGGACTGCAGCCGCCCTCCAGCCTGCAGCCGCTCTCCAGCCTGCAGCCGCCCTCCAGCCTGCAGCCGCCCTCCAGCCTGCAGCCGCCCTCCAGCCTGCAGCCGCTCTCCAGCCTGCAGCCGCTCTCCAGCCTGCAGCCGCCCTCCAGCCTGCGGCCGCTTTCCAGCCTGCAGCCGCCTTCCAGCCTGCAGCCGCCCTCCGCCTTCCAGCCTGCAGCCGCGCCTTCCAGAATCGACTTCCAGCCGCGACTCGACAATTTCGACTCGAAATATAACCGATATTTTTACCATACTTTCTTGTACCAATTTACCCCCTTGCTGCGGAGATGAAGACACCAGATCATGAGTGATCAGCTGCACAAGTGAAACTGGGGCCTGAGTGCCAAGACAGTCGCTATACATATATTTCGACAATAGGAGACAAAATTGACTTTACAAGTATAGCCACATTTTTGCACTTAGGCATATCTTCTGAATCCACAGTCACACAAATTTGGGCATGAGGCCAATGGCAGCCAAAATGTAATTCAGGCGGCTTTTCTGAGGCGGGTGCCGTTGCAGAGAGAGAGAGAGAGAATAGAGACAGAAACACGCCTCGCAGGGGCGAGAGAGAGAGAGAGAGAGAGAGAGAGAGAGACAGAAGAAACACACCTCAAAAGTAAGAGAGAGAGGGAGATACTGGCGCGGACATTTTTCTGCAGAAGTAGCAAACAACACCGGCGAGCGCGACGCCGCTGCACCGTCCCCCCCCCCCCCCCTCCTCTTGTTCCGCCTGCACTGGCAGCCAACTGGCGCGGTGCGGAGCGGTCACCGAACTATGAATGGATTTTGAACTTTTCAAAACCACAACATTACCCTTGAGGCGAGGTGTGGAGTTGGTTGCGACACATGCAGCCTGCAGTTCCGCTCCGAACGCAGTGCTGTCAACATGTCGGCTGGGGTGGCTACCCTACTCCTAGTCGTCGCGGCCAGCTTGGGCGCGGTCCCCGCCCCCACGTCAGCTGCAGCGGACAAGACGGTTTACCGGATCGCCGACCTCCACCCGGCGAACATCAGGATGGAACGCCCCCTCAGCTACACGGCAACTGTGCATCACCTCGAGGACCCCGTAACGGTCTACGTGGCGGTAAGGAGGTGTTACAAGAGGTACAAAATTGATTGGGGTTTCATCCCGGGATTGACTCACGAAGAGCAGAACACCACCTACTGTCATCCCGACAGGATTGAGATAAAAAACTGGATTGCCCATAATATGGTGAGGATTGGCTGCCGAGGAACCTTTTACGGTTCCGAGGCTGACGATTTCAAGGACAACCCTTTCAAGAATGAGGCTTGGGTTGACTCAGCTCAAATTGACAAGAGTCACATGGACACTTCCTTTGGCAGACATAACCTGCACATTTCATGGGAAGCCTTCATGACCCACAGCAAGATTGCGGCTCACCTAGTTATAAATGACAAAGAGCGGGTAGAGGCATTCTTGCGTGGACCAGACGGCCAAATTTTGAGGGATTTGTCTGACGAAAAATATTACAGGCGCGACGACCATGTGATCTACCTCCCTAAGGGCCCGAGCATTGTCACAAAGCAAGTGAAATTAAGCTGCAGTGAGACCACCAAGGAGCCGACAAGCCTGTACTGCAAGGACCTGGACACCGGAATTTTCCTGCAATTCACCAACGGCGAGCATCACCGCAGCGAGCCAAAGTTTAGTAAGTGCGCTGGTGGTTTCTGCTTTGTTGTTGACAAAAGTTCCAGGGAAGACACCTCGGCAGTACACTACAGGACGACAAACAGTGTCCGGCCCGGTGCCCAGCAGCAATACCCGTGGTCCCTGCCCCCGTCCATTCCGCGCCGTGGTGCAGTCGTAACCCAGCCAGACCTCGGGCCCCCCATCCCTGCCGTGCCTGTCGGCCCGGTCCCACCGTTGGTCCCAGATGTTGTTTGGCGGTTTATACTGGACTCACCCGCCCCCGGGAAGGCCGACCCCCGTGGACTCGGTGCGTGGGTGGGGCACCCCGAGACGGTCAAGGCCACTCCTAACGTGTTCTTCAAGCTGAACCAGGGACAGGACCCCACGCACCCTGGCGCCGTCGACACCTTTGTGGCTGTAACTGGGCAGTCACCTCCAGCGGCGCTCGCTGAGCAACGTCAGCACAACACACCGCAGCCCTCGGCCGAGACGGCGGGCAGACCGGCAGATCGACCTCGCGACTACCGGACCGTCAACATACCCGAGACGGAAGGGGTGAGTGCTGAGGACTATGCAGTATTGCAAGATAATTTGCTCGAGTTACGCCACGAGACCGCACACACTGTGTCGGTGTTACAGCAAGAGCTTGACCACACACGTAGTATTGTCCGTGAACTTGTTGCTAGCCTCGCTAAAT